GGAAAACCTCTAATGCATCTATGAATGACACGATCTAGAGAGACTACTACGCGTTTTGGTCGTGTTAGTAGACCTCCGCGGCGTGGCTGTGTAGATGACCCTGTTGGTTGTCAACACTGAAAGATAGAGAGCATTGCTCAAGCAAAATTATCAGTAAACGAGTTAATAGTAGTTTTAGTGAAGTTGAACATTAACAGCTAGACATTGAACCTGAACTATCAGTAAATTTGCCTTAACATTTAATAGTTGCATTGATAGTTGTTTTAGTGCGTTTTTAGCATTAACAGTTAGACATTGAAACAGTGTGTTCGAACGTGTCCCCGAACTATGTCATGATGGATGCCTGTTTAGGCCCCCACAGACTACGTTTTTTTTGACGATTTTGTTCGACGATCAAATCTGGTCGAGCAAAAACGACGGATCGCAGATGCACACATACCTCCGTTTAGTTTGGCGAACTTCAGTCATATTGGGAAGTTTTTAATTTTAATAATGTGAAATTTTGTAGCTACGCAACACACACCACACAAAACCGTCGTTTTTAAAATTCGTAGCCCACACACTTCATGTTTGTTGACATATCGAACATATCCGACGGCCAGCAAAAACGACAATTTTTCGCACACACACTTCGGTTTTGCGTCATTTTTGCTCGGCCAGATTTGCTCGTCGAACAAATCCGTCCAACAAAAACGCAGTCTGTGTGGCCCTCTTAACATCCGGGTACCTGTCATAAAATTTTGGGATCCGTGTGTACATTAAAAATGACCTTTCATGTCATCGAAAGGAGAAGCTAGAACCAGCGAACCTTGATATCATATGGCTAAAATTCACCTCAAAGTCATCGACCAAGTTTATCTGCTGCCTCTACCGACCGCCATCTAACACCGAGTACCAAAACTTTTTCGCGACATTATCCGAAAGCTGTGATAGTATACAGTCAAACTATCCACAGGCGGAAATTGTCTTTTTAGGCGATTTCAACGTCCACAATATACCCTGGCTGAAACATCACAACAAAACAGATAACGAAGGCAGAGAAGCAGAAGCTTTTGCCATAAGTTGTGGTCTAACGCAGCTTGTCGATGAACCTACCCGTATCTCAGAAAGGGGCGAATTTGCAGCGCTTTTAGACTTGTTCCTAACCACAAATCCTGACTCGTACACAATTCAAGTAGATGCTCCACTTGGTTCATCCGATCATAAACTTATAATAACAAAGTGCGAAATGCTCATCCCACCAAGCCAACAACCACTTCCTCGTAAAATGTGGCACTATAAATCGGCAAAATGGAATGACCTAAAACAGTTTTACCTGGATTTTCCATGGCAAGAGGTTTGCTTTAAAACAGCTGATCCCACTATTTGCTGTAATGAAATAACACAAGTAATCTTATCTGGAATGGATGCATATATCCCACATACAACTAAACGTAGAGCTAATGCAAAACCTTGGTTCAACAGCCAGTGTCAAACGGCTGTACAGAAAAAACACAGAGCATATAACCTTTGGAAACGACAACAAACCGCTCAAAACCACACAGAATTTATAGAAGCCAGAAATAGTTGCAAAATTACTATTGACTCCGCTAAAGAAACATACAATCAAAGAATAAAAAACAGGTTGCTGAATGGTCCAAGTAGTTCTAGGTCCTTTTGGTCTCTTGCAAAAGCTGTTGGATCTAACTTCACCAAGTCATCCATACCACCACTTACAGATAAAAATAATCACTTAGCCACAACATCAGAGGAAAAAGCCAATATGCTGGCCCAAATGTTTTCCTCCAACTCCAACCCAACAGTGCCAAACGGAAAAACTCCACCGTTCATTGAAAGGGTTTCCCATAGTATGCCAGAGGTACCCTTTTGTCACAGAGAAATACGAAAATCCCTTAAAAATCTAGATACAAACAAAGCAATGGGTCCGGATGGCATTCCCGCAATAGTACTCAAAAATTGCGCCAACGAACTCACCCCAACTTTCGCAAAATTATTCAATTTGTCTTACAGGCAAGGAGTATATCCATCATCATGGAAGTCTGCCGCAGTACAACCCATTCCAAAGAAAGGAAAAAAGACAGATCCGTTAAACTATAGACCAATTGCTCTACTTCCGGTGATATCAAAAGTAATGGAAAGAGTTGTGAACAATCACCTAACCAAGTACTTGGAAAAGTACAAAATTATCAACGATAAGCAATACGGATTTCGAAAATATAGGTCAACTGGCGATTTACTTACATACGTCACTCACTTATGGCAAAAAGCGATTGAGTTGCGGGGTGAAACAAGAACAATTGCCTTAGATATATCTAAAGCATTCGACAAAGTTTGGCATGAAAATCTGCTCAACAAGCTCAAAGCAATGGGATTATCGCCGAAACTTTGCACTTGGTTTGAAAGTTACCTAAAGGACAGATCCATTTATGTTGCACTGGATGGCCAGAACTCCAACTCTTACCAAATAAATGCTGGTGTGCCACAGGGAGCAATCCTTTCGCCAACTCTTTTCCTGATTTACATAAATGACCTCATAGATAAAACAGTAAATCCACTTTATTGCTTTGCAGACGATGGCAATGTAGTCTCCTCACTCATACCACCCACAGGTCTTTCCGCACGTAAATTTCATCATCTTAGACTAACTCAAATATCGCAGATAAATAACGACCTGGAGATAATAGAGGACTGGGGTAACAAAAACCTTGTACAGTTCAACGCACAGAAAACCCAAGCAGCTCTGTTTTCAAAAAAGAACAGCACCGGTGAGCCAAACATCATGCTATCTGGAAGTGCTGTCACATTACAGAGTCAGTTGAACATCTTGGGGGTTACTGCAGAGACCAACATGTCTTGGCACAATCACGTGGCAGATATTGCTAAAAGGGCGTCCCAAAAGCTGGGGGTGCTATTTCGTACAAGACATCTGTACACACCAAGCCAATTGCTGACACTCTACAAAGCCCAGATTCGACCAACTATGGAGTACTGCTCACATATATAGAGTGCAGCACCCAAACATACCTTAATGTTTTTGAACGCCGTGCAAAAACGAGCTATCAAGCTGATCAATGACCCTGCACTTACTCGTAACTTGGATGGTCTCGAACATCGCAGATCTGTGGGCGATTTATCTCTCTTCTACAGGTACTATCACGGAAAATGCTCTGGAGAGTTGACACGTATAATTCCACCGAGAGTAGCGCCTACCAGGCGAACCCGTCAAACAGACGGTAACCATGAATTTACTGTCAAACTAGAGGCACCAAGAACCTCATTATATCAGAATTCATATCTCTGGAGAACAGCATCGCTGTGGAATAAACTCCCTGCGACGGTTTTCCCTGCAGGTTACAACCTGAACCGTTTCAAGACCAACATACACCGACATTTCCGCGCACTTGCCGCTTTTCGAGCGTGATAGGACATTTCCTTGCGAGTGCGCATATCCGTAAAAAAAAAAAAAATAGAAACGTAACGTAGGCGGGGTTCTGGGAAGCAAGGAAACGTCAACAGGAAAAACAGGAGAACTTATAACGGGCACGCAGGGTTCGCTTGGAACTCGGGCCAAAGCTCCAGCACAGCACAAGGCACAAGGTGAGAACTATTGAACATCATCGCTACAAAATCTAGTAATTTTTTTTTTCCGGGCTATAATGCCGTGGTCCATTAGTATTTCTACCTAACGTTTCGTCTACTGCTGCGGTAAACATCTACAGAGGCGGTGTGGTAGAGGACGAAGTGTTCTCTTCCGTGTTCCTCCGATGACTGGATTCGACGTTGTTGGACCTGCTGTATTTATATCCAGGATTGTGGGCGTGGCTTGTATTACGCTATTTTCCTTGTCTCGTTCTCGGAAAGGAAGGGTCTTCATTTTTCGGAGAACTGGCAAGCAGCTTTTGTTGAGGTTCATGCCCTCTTCTTTTTTGTTGAAGTTGTTGTGGTGTATCTGTATCTCTATGGCTTCTCTGTGGAGTCTGGTGTAAAAATGTTTGGTTCTATCCGATGCTTGAGTCTGGTCGAAACGTATGTCATTGTTTGTTTGTGTAATCATGAGTTCGGCGATTGCTGATCTATCTATTCGTCCCTGCTGACAGTTTCTTTTGTGCTCTCTGATCCTGGTGTTGATAGAGCGTAGACGAAACGTTAGGTAGAAATACTAATGAAACACGGCATTATAGCCCGGAAAAAAACTTTTTCACTAGTCGCGGTATAAATGTTTTTACTTCTAAAGGTTATTGTACCAGACCGCACCAGACCGGTGCAACAAACAGCGCAAAACGTTCGCGAACATTTTGCAACAAGCATTCCGCTCAGCGCGGATAACGTCTTAACTGCTGCAACACTTTTTTGTTCATGTACCGACACCGCATGGAAATCATTTTGCGCCGCGCAAAACTGAGCGCGCTCCAGCAAGTCTGAGCATGCTACCGTCCAAACTACCATGTTCTGCAACGTTCGCGAATGTTTTGCGCTGTTTGTTGCACCGGTCTAGATGCACCTTAATACTAAAATATATCATCATATTTGATTTGTTTATGATACCAGTAATTTGCACCTCATTTTTCATAAAGGACCCCCTCACCTACGAATTTTGCTATTCTGTCAAAATCAATGTGTGGTGGACATTGACTTCCTAATGAAAAGTTCTGCCACGCTTTTTCGATGATTAATGGCCGTTTGCACCGTTATAAAATAAAACCGCGTTTAACTAATCTGTGTTTAAATTCAAACTAGGCTTAAATTTTGATTCATTTGTACCATCAAATATTTTCACTCAGTTAAGTAAGCCGAGATTTTAAAAAAATACCTTTTGGCAACGTTGTAAAATTATCTGCAGCGAACTTCAAGTTCTACATTTTTTTAAGAATTTGGGGTTAAGGTGTGTGGATTTGAACTGGAGCCGGAGCTTTGTTTATTTTGGTTTTGTTTCCGTTTGCAATCTGTTTTGTCGTGTTCGTGTGTGGATTTTTTAATTTTCCTTGGGAAAAACAGGTATCATGGACCAAGAACAAAAAAAGAAAATTAGGGCTAGGTCATCCAATTTCACAAACGAAGAAAAAATATTAATTGCGAATATATGTGCCGATTATAAACATGTAATTGAAAACAAAAAGACTGACCATATCACATCCAAGGAGAAAGCACAGGCTTGGCTAAATATTGCCAAAAAATTTAACGCAGCTTCGCCAGATGGTATCTATAGAGGGGCGGATTGTTTAAAACGCTTCTTTGAAAATAAAAAAAAAGAGGTTAGAAAAATAGCAGCTGAGGAGAAAAAAGAAATATTTCTTACTGGAGGTGGCATTCCTAAAATAATCAAAAAGGATCCTTGTCATGATGTGGTGTTATCTATCATGAACACCAAATCAGTGTTTGGATTAGATAATGGAGGATTAGATGGGGATGGAATACGTCCAAAGGAATGTTCAGGAAACCAAACTCGAAACCAAATCACAGGTGCAGGCGATACTACTACTGATACCGTCATTGAATTGGAGTACATGGATCAAGAGATCGAAGATGATATGCAAATCAATCAAGAAATCAGTGATAATAATGTACAAGGAGCAGATGAAAATGAAATAATTTTCCAGATAGAGGAATGGGACCAAACAGCTTCAAACATTACAAATCTAGAGAATAACATCAATGTATGTGAGTATGTCCAAGTGATCTTTGAGAGACGTTTAAGTTTTTCAAAGATTATCTTGTACATGAACTTGATAAATCATGGAATAAACCTATCTATTTACTTCTATTTTTTGCTTGTAGAATATACCAAGTACTAGTTGGAAAAACTATAAACCCAAAAATTTGATTGAACCCATTACACCAGCATTAAAAAGAAAGCCAGAAATAAAAGGTACCTAAGTAGCTTTTAAAAATGTGTGAAGTAATTGTGGTTGTGTTCTATAGGGGGTAGTACCGGGTGATTGTCTATATTTTGCACCCAGACCTATCTCATCTGTTTGAAGAGATACCCAGAAATGTCAAATGTGAAAGTTCTAGGTAATATCAGAAAGTTTCCAATGATGTTAATTACAAGTATACAGGGTGTTTCACACAAGTGTGGCTAAGCAGAGTTATATTTTTTTAAATGGAAAACCCCATATAATATTGTATCATTGGATCAGCCTTTCGAACCTGATTCCAAATATAGGTACATACTTGGTTTTTTAGGTTTATTCCTTATAGTCCAGCAGAAAATTGGACAAGAAGGGGTGGAATAATTGCATTTTTTATTGAAAAAGGTGAACTATAGAGACCACCAGTAAAATATAAAGGTAATCATTCATGTAAAAAATCCATATTATTTCTTCAAAATGGGATACTCAGAGGCTGGACTATGAGGAATAAACTTAAAAAATCTAGTATATTTGGAATCAGGTTTGAAAGCCTAATCCAATGGGACAATTATATACTGGGTTTTCATTTAAAAAAATATAACTTTGCTTCGCCGCACTTTTGTGGCACACCTTGTATACTTGTAACTAACATCATTGAAAACTTTCTGATATTACTTACAACTTTCACATTTGACATTTCTGGGTATCTCTTAAAACAGGTGAGATAGGTGTGGGTGCAAAATATAGACAATAGCCCGGTACGTATTAGTACATTTTTCAAGAAATTCATATTGTGTGATTTCACTCCATAGATAACAATATTCCGAGCAATATTCCTTATTTTAATATTGATAAATGGATAATAAAGAGAATTTTTCATTTATTCTATTTTTTTAGATGCTGAAACTGCCACACCTACCAGAAAAAAATGTCTCTCAAGCTCCCGGCGACGTCCATCAGGGGCAGTTAAAGCCCTTACGACTTCTGAACTCTCAGATAAATATAATACTTTGGTGGATAAAAGGCTGCAAATAGCCGATTTTGAAATCAAGAAACATGAAATGGAGATACACCAACTTGACAAGGAAAATAAACTCAAAATTCAACTTTTAGAATTGCAAATAAATGTGGAAAAACAAAAGTTGCAGGGGCTCATGTAAAAACTCGGGATTACATGCAGTTATTAACTGTTAAATTGTATCCTACCTATCACTATCTGTTAATGTGTTTCAATATTTAATCAATTTTGTATGTAGAGATAAAGATATTTATGAAAAGCTCTTTTGTGTTTTTCTTTTACTTTAAATACAAATGTAATAAATCCATGTACTAGTTCTATTAACCAATTGCCATGCTGATTTATAATCAATTATCTATTTTTTATATGCTTTAATGTGCTTACCCCTTTCCTCTAGGACTTTTTAAATACATTGTTGTAAAGTAAACATCAAATTGCTATGTCGGTATTAAATGTTTATTTAAGCCGATGCCGTCCCATAAGGAACGTTCATTTGTTTTCTGGCTTTAGCCTGTAGCAATTTGATCCGAATATTTTCTTTTGTCACCTCTGTATTTTAATCAATAAAATAAATGTTTTTTAAAATACAAGTTTCTGAATCGAAAATATAATTTACTCATTCTATTTTTATTTAATTGAACTCAAAACATCAACATTTATGAAAAAATTCATTCATAATGCTCGAGATTTTGGAAAAAAAAAATCAAAAAGGGTGAAATGTTAGGTAGGTATCAAATAGGTAAGTGATTAGGAAAATCGTTTTTTGGAATTCTTTTATTATTATAATATACCTAAATAATTAGGACTGCAAGACCAATTTCCTTTATATTATAAAGGAAATTGGTCCTGTATGCCAGACAAATTAATAAGTTGATGAAAGTATACCAACTCGAACAGCATTTGAACCTAGGACTTCCAAGACATCAGTTTCACACTCAAATAAGCACAAGTTTAGTAAGTTCTGTTTGACTGCTTCCTAGACTAGAGGTTCAAATCCAAGTCCAGTCTAATTCTTCATCAGCTTTTAATTACTATTATTATTATTAAATTATTATGTATGTTATGATGTTTTTTATTTAAACTAATTTACTGTTTACAAATTTGCAAAGAAGTTATTGATTAAATGGTTTCTTAAATAATTTGGAGCAGCAGCAATATTTTCATTTGGATGAGGAACATCTATATTATGGTTTCCCATTTCAATCAAATAATTTAGCTCTTCTTGGTTTATGCCTTCATCGTTTGGAGGTTCTTCCTCATGCATTTGTTTGGCTAGATTATGGAGAACAGCAGTTGCTATAATAATTTGAAGAACGGTTTGTTCTTTCAGTCTTATTCCATATGCTATGATGGGAAAGCGGCGTTTCCAAACACCAATACATCGTTCTACACAATTTCGAGTGCGAATATGTGATTCGTTATATAATGTTTCTCGTCTTTCTCTGGGGTTCACTAACGGAGTTAAGAAGAAGTTTCTTGCAACATAACCACTATCTCCTAAAAAAAATAATATAACTAAATTGAAATCTATCGCAACATTGGTCATAACATGGCAGAAAATATACAGTCAGACTTGCCAAAATCATTCCACTGCAAATATTGAATCACTCGGCAACAATACCTACCCAATAATATACTGTTTGGAAATTCATTATTCTCAAATCTTTCCTTTAATCTAGAATTGTTGAAAATTGTTGAGTCGTGAGTTGATCCTGGCCACCGTGCGACAAGATCTAATATTTTCAGATTCGAATCACACGTTATTTGTGTGTTTATTGAAAAGTAGCCTTTTCGATTCCTATAAATTTCGGCATCATTCCCACCTGCAAAATGTGTTCAATGTATTTTACCTACTTCTAAAACGCCTTTGCAGAAAGTGTGTTTCATTTAACTATATCATCTCGATCTTTTTCAGTGCCTCATACCTTAGGAACACCTTCTAAATCTTATGCCTCTTGCCTCAGGAAGACTTTTTAAACCTACTTATATGAATTGCGTTAGTTAAATGCCTCACACTTTCCAGAGGCCAAGCTGAATTGACTTATGCATACTTAGGTATCATACAATAGAAGCATGATGCATACCTGGAGATTGTATTCGCACATGAGTGCCATCAACACACCCAATAACGCGGGGAAATGATGCAACATGGAAAAACTCTGTTTGGGTTCCAACAATATTCTCATTACTGGGCATATTGATAAAACGTGGATACAATCGTGCAATACATAAGGACACTTTGGAAACAATCCTTGAGGCAGTTGACACGTCCATTCCAATAAAATCTGCTACAGTGGCCAGATGTCCAGCACTGGCATAATATCTTAAAGCTGTTAGTAGCTGGTCAATTGGTGGCACGCTGTTGTTTCTGAAAAAATAAGTACCACCATTTGTGCCCAAAATAAAATCAAAACTACATGTTCAAGCTTCAAAAGTGTATGCCTATCCTACCTGTTTTATTCGCATACTCGACTCTCGAGTGGTATAAATACCATTACCCACCCGGCCATACCCTCTTGATATCCCTTTACAACAACAAAATAGGCAATTACTACGACTACTTACAAATCATTATCGTACTCCAATTCATGCTCAATCAAGGTCAGCAACTCCAGAACAGTGGCTTTTACCAATCGAAACCTCTTGAAAAAAGTAAGGTTGTCCATTGTATTAAAGTGTTGACTCCTTTGATAAATCTTCTTTGGAAAACCATAGTCTATGATTTCCATAATATCCAAATCATCCTCGAAAATGTTGTAATCCTCTGCATTCATTTTGTTGGAAAAATCTCACTGAAACTCACGAAAATTTCGAAGCTCAAAAAAATTCTAGGTTAGAATCTGTTAGTTAGGAAATAAACCACCAAAACTGACCGTTTAATTTAAACCGGGTATAGACTAATTTAATCGAAGCTTAGGAGACGGTGCAAAGCAATTTTATAATTTAACTAGTGCTTAACGCTAAACTTAGTTTAACTACAACGGTGCAAACGGCCATAAGAAAAGTTTATTAAAAAAAAAAAAATTTAGAAAAATAAATTTAAAAAAAAATTAAAGTCGAAAATAAAAAAAATAAAAAAAAATAAAATAAAAATAATGAAAATTAAAAGAAGAATAAAAATAAAAATAAATGAATAAGGAACTTGAGATTGTAGGACTGAAGGTGCGTGCAAATTATGCCCTAGCTCAGAACTAAACAATTCGGAGAGTAGGGGTGGGTTTTAGTTTGGGCGCCACCGACTCTGAACAGATGAGTCGGACTCTCCAGGATGGTATCTGGCTTCAGGTCCTTACAATTCAAATAATGATTAATAAAAAGAAAAATATAAGCAAAACCAGGCTGTGTGCATAAAACCAAATAAAAGTCAAGAAATCAAGTGCTACAGTTGTTTATTCACCAAATGGCCGCAGACCACAATGAACAATAATTTGAATTTAAGAGAAAAAAAGAAATAATAATAATCAAGTAAATTAGCAATTAATAAAATGACCTTGTCATGAAGCGTTAACTAACAAATACAGAAATGCAATACTATGTCATGATCAGTTAAATTTAAATACAAAAATGTCATTGAAACTCAATAACTAAGTAATTAAAAAAAAGATATATATGAAAAGTAAGGTTTGAAAATTTAAAAAAAAAATAAAGAGAATAAGAGAGAAAAAAAAAAACTAATAACGTAGAATTAGTTCTCGGAACGGTTATCTTACACTTTCGTAACCAGAACTACCAGTAGGTTGACATTAATTCAACAGGTTACGTCTAGTTAAGTTACCTATTTTAATAATGGGGTAGCAGTACTATGTATGAAAATCAGTAAAACAGCTGCTCGATATTATTCTATAGGCTAAATGGTGATGGTATAGTGGGAAACTAAATCATTTTCCAGCATTGTGTGTATAGAATTAATCAGAGAACAACAAACTGAAATTTGAATTTAGCGCCATAGCGGCGACCAATAGTATTCGAGCCGCTGATCATCTGGCAACGCTGTTCAAAATGCCTCTAAACGACAGCTGACTCCAACAGTTCAACGACGTGTGGTGTCGTGTGAATCGTGTGACATGTGACATTGTCACAGTAACTTGTTTACGTTGTTTGATGTAGTAAATTTGACGTTTCGTTCTTGACGGTCAATGTCAGTGCAAATTGTGCGTTCTTAAAACCCTGATGTGTTGCCAGATTGGAAAAACTAACTACGTCACGAACTTTTATTTTCACGTAGGGGCGGGGCTAAGAGGAAATTTAAACAGCAAAATTCCAGTGTATTGCGGTTTTTACAAAGCAACTGATTACACTAAATAGTACGACACGTACGTCGGGTATATCACTACGCAGTAGTTAAAAATCACTTGTATACTACCCCATTCATTTACCACACTGGGGCAAGCCATGAATTATTCCCTGAAATACCGAGTTGATCACCGTGGTGTACAAATAGGGACAGAATGTAAATAAACAATAATAATATGTGTGTTAACTAAAACTAGTACGATACCAAAATGTTCCAGATGTGGTTAACTTGATTGATGACTTGAGTAACCGTCCGATTACTTAGGCTGGTGTCTGTTAGCCTTTTAGTTCAATTTCGGTTACAATTGAACGTCTATTGTTATAACCGTGAGGGTATACTTGATGGCAAAGTACAACCCCTCCTAAGAAAAACTCTAAGAGAAAAAATTGTTATACACACTGTATTTGTAATTGAACCAATAGCGAAGCACTTCATGAATAAATTGAATTTTAAAAAAAAATATGAAACTATAATGATTAGTTTCTAATAGCAAATTTACTTGATAAAAAAACTATAGCTCTTGAAAATTATTTTAATAGGAAAATTGAACATCAAGGTATTAATTAATTAAATTAGATGAAATCATAATAAGGCTTTGATAGCAATCGAGAAAAATGTGTCTCGAGTTTGCAAAAATTGTAATAAGGTTGTGTTTTTTTTTACCTGGTCGAAATAGGGTTTGTTTGCCTCGAAAATCTCCGGAAATCTGGATCGAGGTCTGGATTGAATATCCTGGAGTGGGTGAGATTATTCTCTACTCCTTAGGGCAGCTTTCAACTAATAATTGAATGGAAAAAAGTCAGAATCTTCTATTGGAAAAAAACGTGCAAGCAACTTACCACAACGAC